ATATGGCCTTTCTGGTTAATAGTTAGTAGTTCTGCCAGGATGATTTGCTAGGCCACAATCTTGCAAAGAGATTGGGCAGTTTACTATGCAAATGAGGTGACTGTGGCCTATCTAGGGGATTGATGAGTTTTGCCATCTTGCTAAGCTTAAAGGGGCTAATCCCACAGAGGTTGAGGGGGGACCACACTAGCATCAAGAAGAAGAAATTGGAGTAGAGCATGTCATTCAGACCCAAGGTTCCTGTGCTGAGTATCTCCTAGATCCAGAAAACAGAGAGAGTTGTAACAGTGGAGACAGCATGAAACAGTGTAAGACTGTATGAGCAGTGAGAACCAGGAGACCAATGGGAGATGGCTGCAGTGGGCTCGCCATCTCATGGAGTGAAAAAGCTGAGCACCTTCAGGCTTCTTGGCAGAGTGAGGTGCCTTCAGTCACTTGATGGGAGAGTCAAAAGAACTATAATACTTGTCCTAGTGGGGCCAGAGGCAGAAGCCAAGCCTGAGAGGGTCCCAGCTGACTTTAAAGACTAGAGCAGGCCCAGCCTGCAGGCACAGATGAGAAGTGCAGCCTGCCTGATGGAATGGCCAAGAAGGAGCTGAGAACTGTCTTGGCTGGAAGCCGTCCTGATTGAGAAAGTATATCCTGTCTCCTGACTTGTAGCCTGTTATTTCCCTCATAAACTGCATAACAATGAGTGTGGCCTGTAAGTTCTGTGTGGACATTGAAATGAATTATCAAACACAACAGAGAAGTAGGAAGAGCTGTAGGGAGGATAGCTAGTGTCAGAACTGGTAAAAAGTTTGGAGAGTGGCGATATGTCTGACCTCCACCTACAGGAATCAACTTTGTGCTGATGATTATGATTCTCTCTCCTCCTTGTGAAGTTAAAGGACTCTGATGCAAATAAAGTACAGTCATTAAAGGTATACATTAAAAGAGATCCAAGTAGACTATCACAGTGTTAATGCCTGGGGGACTCTTTCTTGTAAAGAAAATGGAAGAAGCGTGTTCAGATAACTTCCTTTAAAAGCACATGTATCTGATGCAGATCTTTCTTAAAATAAAGGTTTACTTAATATTTAAGGAGTTCTTTTAAAAACAAATGTTGTAATTCTTTTAAAGAATTGACATTTAAGAGTCTAACTAGAAGCACAAATGAAGGTAGAGACTTTCCATGAATGTAACTGGAATAAATTAAAAATTACAAAATTTAGGAAGAAATGTGCGCATATAGCCATATATAATTATTGATTATCATTGCTTTTAAAAAGTGTCACCCAAATAAAACTATGTGTTCCAATCAAGAAAGCTAATAGGCTTTAGTCTACTTTTTTTCTCATTTTTACATTTTTACATTTTGACATTTGTATATGATTCATGCCTTTGTGTTGACTGTGAAAATATGTATTTCTCTATAACATATATTTGATCATTTAATTCATATAAACGTAGACATTGATTTAGTCATTAATATAGTAAAATATAACCTGTGACTATGATTTAATCAACAAATTCTGAAAGAATTCCTATTACAGACAAAACGCAGTATTAGATCCTGTAGAAAAATAATCCATAATAAAAGAGTACTAACCTATTATTTTGATTTTCTTGAGATAACAATATGTAAGATGAAGTTAAATAATGGGATATATAGAATTAAATATTGCTGAAGTCACGGCATGTGATGTTTTCTTGGTAAACAATCTCTGTCCATGGACTTGTAGAGACTTTGCAGAGAGGGCTCTTTCAGGACAGGCATTCTTTACTATCTGAAACTCTGCTTCTCTCAGTACCCAATTGTTAGGTGAATATTTATTCAATGAAAGCTCTAGGTTCAGAGAAGTGATGGCTCACATTTTTGGATGGAGGGTCTCGATGGCTTCAAGGAAAAAGGGGTCTTGTGCTGGGACTTGGAAATTGGCTAGAACTTAACTGATACGAGGGAACCAACAAGAAGTAATTCAGGAAGGAAAAGATAAATGATAAAAAGCAGTTTGCAATACCTTGCATGGAATGGTGTTTGGAGCAGGGCTGTTCCAATATGGTGGGGCATAAGAAATTACATATTTGCTTAAAACTGTAGTTTACAAAACAAATCAATTTATATTTGGCAACCAAAGCCTGGAAATACTGTGAATGCCCGCAAGAGTATCTGCAGTTTATATTACAGTCTTCCCCTACTTGCTTGGAGTTTGTAGTTTCACCCGGTATTGTTAATTCTACGTTTTAAGATAAAAGCAATATAGGTTTTAAAATTTCATGAAAACACATTTTGTATTCTTTGAAATATTACACTATACTTTAAAAAGCTCTTAACTTCCAAGTAGAAGATGGATGATAGCTTACTGTTTAAAATTCCAAATTAGGTGCTAAATTCAAGCTAAGTATAAATTCTTAAGATATTTAAATTTGAGATTTGTTTATACACCAAAGTGTAAAGAAAATGCAGATTCATAACTACATTTAATTGATATACAGAAAATATAGCCAATGACTAGATTTAAACAGTATTGTCTTTTAATAATTTTTTTAGGAAGATAGTTTCCAAAGTCATATTTTGTAAAATGCAGGTGCTAGCTATCTAGGATCATATACTAGGGTGTGGGAAAAATATCTGAACTTATATCATCTTGTATGACTCATTGCTTTAAAATTTTATTTATGTTTTATAATTTATATAATTTACATATATAATTTGCATAATATATTTGCACATATATGTATCAGCACATATATATAAAGCACATATATATATCGACCTCTGCATTTCTTTACTTGTGTAGTCCATGCACAGTCAGTACAGTTTGGACATAAATGATTGATTGTTGTTAGGTTCCTAAAGAAAAAGAAGATGATCATATGTCTAAAATTTATAGTAAGATTTGAAGCCAATAATTATTTCTGTGTTTTGTTGGTAAGTAATCTCTGTGATCTGTAGAGACATTGAGAAGTGGTCTGTTTTAGGACATGCATTCTTTATTATCTATAACTCTTGCTCTCTCGGTGCTCAAAGTGAGCTCATAGTCCTTATTCTGTTTTCCAGAAAGCTGTCTAATAGTCAGGGGCAGTTTACCCATTATGTGAGTGAATATTAGCATTGGCCACAACAGAAGTGTGCTGAAAGAACTCTCAGAGCTATGTTTTAGTCCTGCAGACTTTGCCTGGACCGTCTTTCATGTCCCTTTGATGTCGAACAATCAGGCACCCTTGGTCTCTCGAGGGAAAGGCTCTCTCTCAACCTGGAAGTTGAGACAGAGCATTATTGTAATTGCCAGCTATTCCATTACACTTCTGGGAAAAAAATTGGCCCAGAATGTACTGTACATTGAAAAATGGCGAATCTTGTTCAGTTATTTCACACTGGGTTGTGGCATTATTTTGCACTTTCCTCTCTTCCCCATCGTATCTCAGACTCTCTTTACTCCGTCCCTCAGCCAGAATGACACTGTAAGCATAAGAGATTTTTCCAGGTGAAAAATGTAAAAAAATTATGTTCTATATTAAGGAAAATACGATAGACTTGTGCTGGAATATTTCCCATGAGCTTTCCTCTGGGGCCGATAGCTCAGCAAGCATTTAGTGATCTCCTGCTGGAACCACTCCCATAGAGGTGAGAGAACACTGTCCTTGCTTCTGACAGAGATTTTGGTCTTCTTAAAAAGACAGCATTGCCATTACAAATAGGCACAGACTGATATGAGTTTCGGGAAAGAGAGGTCTGGAGGCTAGACTGTATGAGTATATTCCCATTAACACCATGGAGCACCTTTTAAAGAAACAAACTCCTAACAGCCCCCATGGACATTTATATTCCAAAGATAAGCCTGCTATGACTTGCCTGAGATATTATGCTCCTGAAATGTTAAGGATAGACATGTATTCCTATGTACTCTGCTATTAAGAATGGCTCAGTAATTATTAAATGAAAAATGACATTTCCAATATATGTATTGTTGCTGTTGACTTTTTGGTGCAGAGTAAGAGCTAGATATTATATTCTACCTTAAAAGAATTTTCCTCAGTATCTTTGACAAATAGGAACATTGAGTGTATTTGCTGGAGAGAATATTTACACTTGTCTGGGTAAATGTTTTAACACCAACATGCTTCAAGAGTGACAAGATTCATAAAATGCTTCAGTGATTATTAAGGTGCCGGTTTAAAGCTATGAAGCATATGTTCTGAAGTCTTTATAGTCTATTTTCACAATTCCCAAAAATGTGCGAGGCAAAAGCATTAGACTGGGAGTGAAAAACCTTGGGTCTTAATCCGGGCTCTGTTTCTAACTAACTTTTAATTTAGGCAGTTCACTTCACCTCCTTATCCCGTTTCCTCATCTGTCCTCAGTGTGTGTGTGTGTGTGTGTGTGAGTGTGTGTGTGCGTATGTGTGTGTGCAAGTATGTATGTGTGTTGGGACTAGGGATGGTGAAATAGCAGATGTTAGAGTAGCTGTTATGTTTCAAAATTTCAAAATTATGTGGTGGAGAAAGAAAGTGGATTAGTGGTTACATAGGGCTGGGGGACTAAAGAGTTTCTTTTTGAGGTGACCAGTCTTCTAAGATTGATTATGGTGATGGTTGGACAACTCTGGAATAGATTAAAAATATTTAATTGTACACTTTTAATCCGTTAATTGTATGGTATGTCAAGTTTATCTTAATAAAGCCGCTATGATAATTGTATTATAAATAGTAAGTAAAACTGTCATTTCTTTAAATTCAGTACGTAAAATGTAAATAATCCTTACTCATCAAACATTTAGTGGATTTTATCTGATAGGTGTACTTTACTTGACATGGGTATCTGTTTTCCCTGCAGCTACCTTAAGTATTAAATTTCAGGTTAATCAGAGTGCATTTTTCCTCAGCTGTCAAATGTTATTGGTCAGGTTTCTCTATAAATAGGTCATAAAATTACAACCTATAAGCTAAGTACAATTTTCTTCTCTGTTTTGTCTTTCCCTTTTTCTTTCTTTCTTTTTTTTTTTTGGCATCTGAAGACAAAGACGGGTATCTGTTTGCTGCAGGATGGTAATCAGGAGCCTTTCAAAGTGCGCCTCCACCTGGCCAAGGACCTCCTGATGATCCAGGAGCAGGATGTGATTTGTGTGTCTGGTGAGCCTTTCTATTCTGGTGTAAGTAGCTTTTCCTCCTGCTGAAGTGTTGTGTGTGTTTTAATATAAATGTTTATTTACTGAAAACTCTTAATATGTTTTTGCTTTCAGTGCCTAGACAATCATCGTGCAAGTAATGTCTGTTTACATTATTGAGTAAGCAGTGGTTTTTTATAAATACTCATGCCTGAGTCTACACCAAATATTTAGGACCCATCTCCAGCAAGACATCTTATGGGCTCCTAGTTGACTTTGTGTGACTACAGTGATGCACATATTTTCTGATCACAAGAGACTATTTACATTAAGTACATGTGTTCCTTCCTCTTACATGGAGCACTAAAAGAGGTCTGTGCAGATAGTCTCCTGCTCTGGTCTTATATTTCATAGTATTGGTGCCAGTGCCCAGTTGTAGCCCATCTCTCAGTATCGTTGAAGCAGGAGGCTTTAGGTAAAGATCACCCAACTCGACGTGAACGTTTTCTTCAGGGGACTGTGCATGAGTAATCCTGTGGGCAGCCTTGATACAGTTATGTTCATGTGTTGCAGCAAGTTCTTCTAGCCAGTGCCCTAACCAGCTCACATATTATGCTGCTGCTAATCCAGCCTCAGAAAGAGCCATTAACTGTCACTCAAAACCAGTTGGTCAATTTACCAGCACCAAAGCACAGCTATGGGAGACATCCTTAGGTGAGGGTGGATTTCATAGGATAAAAAGATTCTCTCATAAAACAAAACAAGTTCTAGAGTTTATAATTCACTGTGAAATGACATCAAAGACAACATCCTAGCAGTGTTGCCATATGTGATCTCAGAAGAAAATTATGAAAAGGCATCAAACAGTGTGCACCCTTGATTCACCAGAAATCTGTAGCTATGTAGCATGAAGATTCAGTTTGTAGCTTATTCACAGACTTACCTGGGAGTGTTTTGTTGCTTGTGAACTATGCTGAACTTGAGGTTTCAATCACTTCCTCCTCACATCCATGGGAGACACACAAGGCCCTGAATCAGTAGGCCTTTGCTAACTGGAGATAATGAACATTTTGCAGACTGTTAACTATTCTTTTGTCATGGACCATTTAAATCATCCTAAATCATGGAAGTAGGTATCAAGGTTGATTGAACAGTTCCCATAGGATTGCCCTTTCTTCCCATTAGTTAATAAAAGAATAGAGGTAGATTTCTTTCTTCCTTTAAAAAAAAATTATTATTTTTTTCAGTGAAGAGATATTTTCAGTGGAGAAGTATGATTCATGTAACTCCCTGGAATAAATACATCACACAAGGTCCTAGATCAGTAGCATGTTATAATCTGTAAAATTCTGTAAACACAGAAGTGATGTTAAAGATTTTAAATGCTGTAATCAAAATAGCTAAAACACACAGACTTTGTCACTCACTCTAAGGAGATTGTACAAGTAAATAAAGCTCAGAATCCTGGAGAGAACTGGACAAAAGTACACAGTAAAGCCATATGATAGTGTCATCAAATGCAATAAAGCATTTGGCAAAATGCAACACCTGTTTATAAGAAATATAGCAAAATATGAATAGAGGTAAGCATCCATAATCTGATAAAAGGCATCTAAGGAATACCTTCAACTATCATCATAGTCAACATTGAGCATTTTCCCTGAGATTGAAAATAAGGCAGGGATGATAACTGGCTTCATTTCTCAACTTTGTTCTAGCTAGGACAAAAAGACAGGAAATGGACATAAACGGCATAACAATTGGAAAGAAAGAGATGAAACTGGCCTTAGTTGTAAATTTTATGGTGGTTTACACATAAAATCCTAAAGAATCTCAAAAAACAAACAAACAAAAACAAAAAATAACACACAAATCTAGCCAGGATGTTGAAAACAGAAACAATATTCAAAATGAATTACATTTCTATATTTCTACAACAACAAACAATTGGAAAATGAAATTAAAATGTCATTCACCATACATGAAAAAGCATAATACACTGAAAAATAAATTTAATGAAAGATGTGTAAGACCTCTACCCTGAAAACTACAAAACAGTGATGAAGGAAATGAAAATACATAGACAAGTAAATGGAGAGACATAACATGACCATGGCTTGAAGACTCAATATTGATAAGTTATCACTTCTCCCCACATTGACCTATATTTTCAATACAATACCAAAAATCCCAGAATGTTTTTGTAGATATTGACAAATCGATTATAAAATTTGCATAAATTTACAAAGGGCCTAGAAGAGCCAAGAGAAGGACATAGTTAGAAGGTTTATACCTCATGATGTCAGAACTTACTGTACACAGTGATATAATTTGATAAGCCTAGGCACATGAATCATATTATAAATTAGTTATAATTAATAATTAATTATAAAGTCCAGAAATAGATCCACATGTATATGGTCAATTGATTTTTGACAAAGGTACCAAATAAATTCAAAAAGTAAGAAACATCTTTTCAACAAATAGTGCTAGAACAATTCTATAAATGTATGGAAAAGACAAATTACCTCATACCAATGTCAACTTTTTTGAGATTGATCGTACACTAATATGTAAAACTAAAACAATAAAGCTTCTAGAAGAAAACATAGGAAAATAGTCCTGTGACTGTAGGGTAAGCAAATATTTCTTAGGGAAAAAAGTACTAATAAAATATAAAAAAAGAAAATGCTAAAATGAACTTCATCACAATTAAAATTGTTGCTTTAAAAATTAAAAAAAAAAAAAAAAAAACTTAAGCAAATGTAAAAGCAAGCCACAGACACACAAACCACAAGACAAAATCTTTGCCATATATTTGCTCGGCACAGAACTTATGTCCAAATTATATACAGATCAAAAATCAATAAGAAAAACAAACAATTCAAAAGAAACATTGACCAAAACTTGAAGAGATACTTCACAAAATGAAATACGCAAATGACTAAGAATATCATGAAAAGACGTTTTAATGCATCAGCCATCAGGGAAATGCAGATCTGATTAAAAACACAATAAGTAAAGCTTTACATCCACTAAAATGGCTTTTAAAAAGACTGTTGTCAATGATATGATTCACTTAGAATTCTCATGTATTTCAGTATAAACTTACCAATCACTTTGGAAAAATATTTGGCAGGTTCTCATGAAGTTAAACATAAGCCTACTCCATAACTCAGTAATCCTACTCCTTAGAATTTATCTACCAGGCACAAAAATATAAGTTTACAAAAAGACTTATATAAGAATATTCACAGACAAAGCCAAGTTGTGAACAGATAAATAGTGGTACATTAACAAAATATATTCTATTCAACAATAAAATGAGCTGTGTGTGTACATGCTGCAAAAGGGATTAATTGCAAAACTACTATGTTGTAAAAAGGAACCAGACGTAAAAAGTACATCAAACATGATTCCATTCGCATGAAGTTCAAGAGCAAGGAATGCTAATCTGTAATGTAAATCAGAACAGTTATCTGTGGAGGGGGCATGGGTATTGACTAGAGGGGGCTGAGGAATCTTCCTCAGGTCTTAAAAGTGTTCTGTTTTTTGATTGGGGTAATGGTTACGTAGGTCTGTACATGTGTCAAAACCGATCAAACTATACTTAATATCTAAGCATTCTGTTGCATATAAATTATAATGCAATTAAATAAGGAATATTGGAAAAGAAAACTTAGCATGGCCAAAATTATAACGGCAGTCTCAGAGCTTCCAACACTTATGAGTCCATCCCATCTGCACCTCACAGACCTCTTTCTCCCTCAAAAGTTTGCCCAAATTGCTCTTTAGGGCAGTTGGGAAAAATTCTCTTTACTTGAGTGAGGGCCCTTCCCCACAATCAGGGCTTTGCTTTACTCGTTTTTTCAATGGCTGATTCTCTACTGACTCTTGTGTCCCTGTCACTAGCTTGGTCTAGCCCAAGTGTTGATCGTGAATGTGCCACAGCCACTGCTGAGTGATCTCTGGTGGTGGGGGTGGGATGGGGGGGCGTGTCCCAACCTTGACCTGATGCCTTCTGAAGTTGCTGGTGTCTGCTGATAGGCTGATTTTGACCCTAGAGGCAGGCATAGGCATCTCTGTCCCTTTACAGAACTGACCCTGGAAGGGAAGCCTCGACAATATTTGTCCCACTGCTGGCAAAGCCTATCCCCTGCCTTTCCAATATCTCTTTCATTATTGGGCCAAATGACTTTAGCTAGGGAAGCATCTGGTGGCACCTCTTCCCTAGAGAAACTCTGTGTCCCCTCACAAGGTAACTGGAATCATGAGACCCTATTCTAGCCCCAGGAAATCGGTGTGGATGGGAACTCCCTGTGTCTGCTTTTGTAACCCTCAGATAAACGCCCATGAACAACTTTGAACTGGAAAACAGACCCTTTACAATGGAACACTTCTGTTTTCAACAGTGTGCTCTCTCTACAATGAAATCTTAAATTTTCACTTAATTTTAGGATGAGTTTGAGGGACCGGGGGATTTAGGCAAAGACCATCATCAAACACATGAGAGCAGAAGGTCATCTCTGTGTATTTGAACAAAAATCATGCTGCCACTCAATCAACTAGCATTAGTTGAAAAGTCAGGAGAAGGTTTTCAGGGCAAGGTAGGTGTTGACATTTTATGGAGGAGGTGAGCTGTGAAGCACTGGCTAAAAATGGGAAAATGGACAAGGGCAGGGCAGCTCATACAAGTTTATAAACAGAAGGTCTACTTTTGAGGGAACTGAAGCTCAATTCTATGACAAAATTCTGGGGTTTGGTAGAACACAACATTCCCGGCACCACTACAGCATGTATTTATATTCCCAGGTCTCTTTGCCGTGCACCGAGGGCTGTTTCAGGGGTTGATATGTTTCTTCCTGGCTCTGCCCCAGCTCAGGCTGAGGGAAAGCCTCAGGCACAGAGCCACAGGCAGCAGGATGACCTGAGGCAGGCCCAGGACAGTGAGTGCCAAGGAAGTGGGGATTCCCTGTGGGAATCTCCACATCAGAGCTTTTTGCGGGAGGGGGCTCAGTGACTGGAATTAACCTCCTAACCATAGA